TTTTAACGTACGTCACTTCTGAAGGATCGAGTAGCTCGAGAAAATAATTTCTGGTCACCCATCCCGTAGCCGACCATTGCGAAAGTTGCTTAACAACAACGATCGCGGGCCGCGGCCGAGGTATGTATTAGTTGTGTTTTAAAACACTTACCTTTAGGCGATGTAGCGTGAATAGGCACCGTTGATTTTGTCATCTGCACCATGGGATTTGGAATCTGAAAATAAAGAAAAAGTAATATAAGAAAAGTCAAAAAGCTTCACTTGGTATAAGCAAGTAAAGTCATATTATACTCTATTGTACAGAGGGAGATTTGATTATAAGTTTTACTTTACAATTAAGACTGCATACAGAATTCAGAATTCCTTGTTATTACACCTCTTTTGTCATTTTCAACAATAAAATTAAAATAAAAGGCTACAATAAAATCGCACGAAGAGTTCCGTAGCGAAAACGAGAAAAAAAATCAAGCTTTTTGTATGGGAGCTCCCTTAGATATTCTGTTTTATCCAGTTTTTTAGTGTTTGTTCTTCAGCAGCAAGAGAGATACGCCACCTGTGAAAATTTCAACTGTCTAACATCGCGATTCATGATATACAGCCTGGTGTCAGATAGACAGACAACGAAGTCTTAAGAGCCTTACGTTTTTTTACATACATTTTTAGTAATATCTTTTGAGAGATTTGCATAAACTGAAATGTGACCTAATTCTATAAAATATAATTATCAGAACAAATTTTCATCTGAATCGAAAGTTTTAAATATTTGTAAAATTATTTCTGTCGGCTGTATAAGTGGATTGCCTGAGCATTGACGAGAATACGCTCTGTAGTATCGAAATATAATAAGTGCTTGAAAAATTCGTCAGTCCTACTAGGTTCTTGGAAGCTCAGTGGCCAGAGCAGTCGCCTGAATTGCGTCTCGGGTTCGAGTCCCAAAGTACCACGGGCTGTTGGAATTTTTAAGCATATTTCATTAAGAATATTATTATTTTTATCAAGAAATTGAATAACAAAATTTCACAAGAACTATTTGATATTCCACATAATATTATTTTAATAAATATTGAACGAACAATGAATGTATTGTTATCTTTTGAATGTTGAATAAAAATATGAAAGAATATTTATATTTCTGTAACAAAACGTATATCAAAACATTATTACGCAAAGATAACTCACATTGATTTATTTTAATGATAAAAATCATGTTATAAGGAAAAATCCTTCAACAAAAACAAACTATTTGCATGAATCGTTTCTACGGAATAGTTAAATGTCGTAACACAAATTATGTAAGAGCTTTCTATAACTCATTCATTGTTTTTTTTTTTATTTATTTATGAACCACAAACAAGTTTACAATAAACTTAATGCTGAAAGTTACATAAATTAGGACTTATTGTACTTATTGTAAACTCAATATCGTTGGTTACATTTGAATACAAGTATTCTAGTGCAAACTGAAGATGCAGATTCTTTGCAAGACTCATACAACTTATGTTTAAGTTACAATTAAAACTATTTATATAGAACCGAATCATATTGACAAATACCATTCTATTACATCCATGTACAGTGTAACAGAGATTTGTGCAAATTTATGGATGTAGTGTAAATTTTAAAATTATAATTGTTATGTCTCTTCTTAAATTGAGTGCATGTTTGTGTGCGCATGTATGATCTCTAGTATAGACATGTGTGTATGTGTATGTGTGTATGTGTGTGTGTGTGTGTGTGTGTGTGTGTGTATGCGAGTGTGTGTATTCGAGACTGTCGGCAAATGAAAAAATAAAAAGAAAAATAAAAAAAAAACAATGAAATTAATGAGTGATTTATACTAACTATACTAATATTATAAAGAAGACAGATTTGATTGTATGCAACGAATAGGCTCCAAAATAACTGGACCAATTTTGAAAATTCTTTCATCTATAGGAAGCTAAAATATACGCGGTGGATATACATATTTTTTACCGAAAAACAGCAAATAAAAGGGATGAAAATGGAAGTGGAAGTATAGGGAATTAAAACTTTACCATAGTCATCATCATCATCATCATCAGCCCTTTTACGTCCCCACTGCAGGGGCTCAGGCCTTCCTTATGGATGGTTAAGGAGGATGGGCCATGACCCTCCACGCTGGCCCAATGCGGATTGGAGGATTTTACCGACTGCAAATGCAGCCGGGACCAACGGCTTAACGTGCCTTCCGAAGCACGGAGTGACTCGAGATAGTAATTTTTTGGGTCACCCATCCCCTGACCGACCCTTGCGAAAGTTGCTTAACGACAACGATCGCGGGCCGCGGCGCTTATCCACTACGCCACCGAGCTACTCATTACCATAGTAACCATTGTTTTCTATTAAATTTGTTGTTTCAATTACATCTGTGTCATGATATGAATCTATATAAAAAAAACAGTTCCTAGGGAACACACGAACGAAGCCGTTAGCGGTAAGCTAGTTAATATTATAAAGAGTTTTCTAACTTTGTTTGGCCCTATGTCTTGATAGTTCTCTTTTTCTTTACTCTTTTTCTTTCCTTCGAAAATACTGATTGATATACTTACAAGGTTATTTTTTTGTGTATCTGTCACTCTGTCTATCTGACACTAGGCTATATCTCATGAAATCGCGATGTTAGACAGTTGAAATTTTCACAGATGGCGTATCTCTCTTGCTGCTATAAGAACAAATACTAAAAAACTGAATATCTAAGGGAGCTCCCATACAAAAAGCGTGATTTTTTTCTCATTTTCGGGACGGAACTCTTCGTGTGCGAGTCCGATTTTATTTAATTTAATTTTTGAAAATGACAAAAGAGGTGTATTAACAAGGAATTCTGAATTCTGTATGTAGTCTTAATTGTAAAGTAAATATAGGTAATAATTAATATACAGGGTTATGGGTAATTAGACCAGATACTTTAAGGGGTCGTAGGGGAGGTCATTTATTATTTTCACCCGACATTGTATATCCGAAAGTTATTTTTTTTAATGTACTTTTGTTTGTAAATTTGCAACACCGAAAACCTTTTTTTAAACTCTGTAGTTTTTGTTTGGGTCAAGATTATTTGGGTTTTATTAGTCATAGTTTTTTTTTTCTTTACTCTTTTTCTTTCCTTCAGAAATACTGATTGATATACTTCCATGGTAATTTACACGGACGAAGTCGCGCGGAAACAGCTAATAATATAAACTCATATTCTTTTAAATCTGTTGTTTTCTCTTTAGCATAACAATATCTGGTTTAACCTTATAATTTCGTAAAGATGCTTCCATTAAAGTCTAACAATAATAGCTAATATCGTAAGCCATGTTGCCTTTGGGGCGAGTATGTGTCCATTGTCATACGAGTTTTGTTTCTAATTGAAATACATATATAATATATTGTTATAAAATGAATTTATATTTAAGTATGGTATGATTGGGTTGGCATTGTCTAAAAAACAAAAACCTCTTAAAAAAAATAATATAACATAATATAAAACACCTTTTTTATAATAATATATAATAAATAAAGAAAAGACGCTCAAACGAGTGTGCTTGTTGGTGGAAAATGCTGGTGAGATGTGTAGGCTATCTGAAAAAAAATATATATTCAGCTCGCTGTTGTAAGTCTGTCCTCAGTATTTGTGTTCGGCCCGTTGTTGTAAGGGACTCGCTTCACTCGCTCGACCCGTCCTCAGTATTTGTGTTCGGCTCGTTGTTGTAAGGGACTCGCTTCACTCGCTCGACCCCTCCTCAGTATTTGTGTTCGGCCCGTTGTTGTAAGGGACTCGCTTCACGCACTTTGCTATGCTTAATATAATATTTTAAAAAATGACGTGTCGTGTCATATGTGAGAATGGAAACATGGCCGTCGTAAAGTTACATCCCTACCGTAATTAGCCTGTGTTTCCCCGGGGCTACTCGTTATCCGTCAGGCTACACAGACCAAGTCTTAATAGCCTTGTATGATGACGTACTCGACCGATCGTGATTGTTAAGCGTCGTTCACAGAGGTCAGGTTTGGAATGGGTGACTATTTTTTTATTCTTATAGGCTACTTTTTATTTTAGATATTAATTGACTAATTGAATTGTAAACAATAGTTCTTATTGTAAAGTTTTTATTCCCTATACAAACTCCCACTTCCATTTTTCCGTTATTTGGGATACAAACTTTTAAGGTGTTGACCACACCTTAGTCTTGTGTGAATACGGAACCTGTAAAGGGTCCGAAACGTCATAAAACTAAATACAAACGCGATGGGGCCGTTTAAAAGTTGTAATTTTGGTTTATTTAAATATGTGCTTTAAACAATGTCATCTAGATCTAGTGGCTAAAAATAAGGTCGTACGGAATCGATTATGAATGTGAAAAGTCCATTCTGATCGACCATTTCTTTTTTGTTTGCATGGAAAAGACTCCATACCATTTAATCTGATTCTATTCTTTCACATGGGATACTATATAAATACGGGCGAGGTCATGGGAAACTGCCAGTTTTTCATAGAAATACCATTTCGCTGGATACATAATTCATTATGCATAATTCACTATAAATAAATATTTATTGAATCAATATAACTTGTGCAATCTATATTTAATAAGTAATTAGATGCTTATTGCATTGACTGCCTGTTCCTTTCTTCGACAGCGCCATCTATTAACAGCAACACGAATCTCCCAAAAGAAAACTCCGTCGGAAAATTCTCGCTTTCCTTTCGAGAGCGGATTTTCCTTGAGGACGTAGTCCAAAACATTTCTAATAGATGGCGCTGTCATGCAGCAACGCCCGATTTTTATTTTTCAAAAACAATTGTAAAAAGATAAACATACACTTTCATTGTTTCCAAATCTATTGTTTCCTGAAAATCTCTAGTTCGTGGTTAATCGATTCAGTACATTTCGGGAGATTGTGAAAATTGTTAGTGCTTTAAATTAGTGACTAATTTAAACAAAAAATATACACATATGATATCCAATATGTATATACCAATACTTATCATACCAGCAATGGTAATAACAATATACTGTCATACGCCTAAAAATAATTCGGACGTTATAGTGACTTATTCGGGGCACGCTGAAGCTTTAAATCCAGCACCCATTCTGAAACCAAGCACCGTGGAGCCAGAAACCACCCGAAAAGAGATCGCAACTGAATTTATTTACACAACACAATTTAAATATTCAAAAAGAACGACGCCATTTTACGATGAAGACACGGATAGTGTTGTATTCGTGCCTAATGAGAAACCGATTTATCGGAACAGGGATACCGATTTTATGGAACACGACGACGACAGAATGAGTATTAAAGATGTTTTAACGAAAGGAAAGAGCATTAATGATGTGTTAAATGATAAGAGAATTATAATTGAAACAGGTAGAGTATTATTTTTAATTAATACTTTATGCACATTTAAAGTACAATGGCGGACTTAATCCCTTACGCAATATCTACCCGTCTACGTAAGTATGATGTGGGGAAACCAATGCGAGTTGGGTGCACAATTAAAATAAAGATTTTTCAACAAATATATACTTAATTGCCTTCCTCCAGCGGCTTCGCTCGCATGATCTAGTTGTAAGTCCAGAAATGAGACAAATCCCCTAATTTACCCCTTAGAAACGAATTTCATAAAATCCCGTCTTAGTGAGCACCTACGTCCTAAAAAGGACCCGCATGCGAAATTTGAAACTCCTGGCAATTGTAGTATTTGAGATTTCGTGGTGAGTGAGCAGGTTAAAGTAGATAATGTTTTTACTATGTCTCGGGTCTTGGTGTCGTGATATCTTTTCTGTTTCAGTTTTTTTATAATACTCTGTACTGAGCTGTTTGTAACGTAATCTTAAAATAAATGATAAATTTAATAATAATAAATTTATTTCTTTACCAAAAACATTTTTAAATTCAAAGGTTGGCTCTTTCTTTTAAGTTGTTATGAAAGAGCCAAAATTACAACAAGAACAAGAATATTGAGTTCATACTGTTTTAGGAGTAAGAATAGCATCTTCTGTCACTGTTATTAGACTTGCCATGATAATTTCAGCAAGAGTATATAATGTGATATATTATTATGTGCCAAAACATCGTGGAGTAAACGAGTTAAGTATACTGACCAACTTTTATTACGGGTGCAACACTGAATTCACGAAAAAAAATGAATGAAACAGCTGATTATTTTTTTCGTTTCGTCATAATTCATTCATCTAACGATAATAATATTACACCTTATATCGCTACATAGTATAAAACAAAGTCGCTTTCTCTGTCCCTATATCCGTATGTATGCTTATATCTTTAAAACTACGCAACGGATTTTGATGCGGTTTTTTTCATAGATAGGATGATTCAAAAGGAAGGTTTTTATGTATAATACAAGAGCATGAGGGCGAAGCCGCTGGCGGAAAGCTAGATAAAAATAAAACTATCTAAAACCTGACCAGAAAAATCAAAAATCTCGCCATATTGCCGTAAACGATGGATACTACGTTAAAATAACAGAAGTAAGGTTCAGGTTGCATTCTTTTTAATAAACTATGATGACATAATGATAACATTAAAAAGAAATCACATAAAATAATAATCTAATTCACATTATATATACGTGTTACAACTAAAAGAGAAAGATGGCGCCTACGTAGCGGGTTTTTATTTTTCTGATTTGTTTCTTATTAAAAACGTTGATTGCAGAACCTCCAAAGAAAGACGTCTTATTTATAACTGGCAAAAATAACGAAAACGAAGACACATTTCAACAGAAAGAGAAAGAAAAGAAACAGTACTCCGGTAGAAGAGATGGAAAACCAACAGAAACTAGAACGACAGTTTTGAACTGTAAACATTTAGATTGCAATAACACTTTGAAGTCTATATGTGGTGGCAAAATAGAACATAGCCGTTGGAGATACAGATTGTTTTTGAATGAATGCTTTTTCAATAAGGTCAACTGCAATTTCAAGTATGAGGAAAATCGTAAGTGAGCATTGTTCATTGTTGATCGTTGATAGATGGCGCTTTTATTAAAAAACCGGCCGAGTACGAGAGAGCACAGATTCCTTACTGGAAATGAAAATCACGTTATATGGAAGTTCTTTTTAATGTAAGTCAGCAGTCAATAATGGTTATGACCAGTGGTCGGAATTAGGTAGAGTTATTCATGTACTTACACTGATTTCATACAGCGAAAGAATAAAGTGGATATGCCTCAAATCCCGAGATTAATTTTAAAGAGCAGAAAAATCCCGTGATTTTTTAAATAAAAAGTTATTTACTTTTACACAATTTAAACTACTGCACGCACGACGTTGCCAAACTTACATCAATGACATCGGATGTCCAAAGTTGCAAAATACCAATACGCGCGATGTTGCCACGAAGGTCCACATTAATATCAACATTTCGATGCAAGTACATAAATAACTCTACCTAATTCCGACCTCTGGTTATGACAAATGAAAATTAGTCCTCGAATACAGCCGGCCTTGCATTCTCTGCCTTGCATCATAATATAATTTCAACTACTTTCATTTCACCATCGTGCTATCTACCTGAAGTCCAATTTTAATGTACCATTGATTTGTAAGGTAGTCTTTACACTAATGATATAGGACTTCAAATAGGACGCCTAACTCATGGACGTAGCCGTAGTCGTTGCTATAACTTACGCTTTATCGATATTTCTTATGAATCTGTTTATATTCTTTTAAAATTCTTTTTTTTTTTTATTTATATATTTTATCAAATATTTTGGTTCTCTTTTTCGAAATATCATTGTTTGTATCATTTCGACATTTTGTAAATTTCCTTTAATAATTTAGTAAACTAAAACAGCCAAAAAGCATTGATTAAATATGTAAAAAATAAAAAAACTATTAATATTAAAAATATTATCAACAGATTCGTCTGAAAACCTATAAAGCGTAGTTTATAGCTATGACTTATATCTATGAGTTAGGTGGTCGCGCCCCTGGTAGATAAAATGGTAAAATTCTGGTTAATTTCCAGGTTTTCAGCTAGTACCTTTGAATAAATGCAAGAACGTCGGTGATCATTATACACACAAGCCATTCGTATTCATTCCATCACCCCCGAGATTACCTGAACCAAAACCACGGAAATTACCTGATCATAGACGAACTTCATCATCTAGAAGGTATTATAATTAATAAGGCTGCATTTGATATGGTAGATCATGGTTTATTGTTGGCAAAGTTAGAGCATTATGGCGTGAGAGGTAATGTCTTGAAATTGTTTCGATCATATCTAGAAAATAGGCAGCAGTACGTAGAAATCAGGTCTGTAGCGCAATGTAAAGAAATAGTGACAAAATCTAGGATGGTTGGTGTGAGGCGTGGCGTTCCGCAGGGCTCAAATTTGGGACCATTGTTGTTCGTCATTTTCGTTAATGATCTTATAAATCTTTTAACTGATTTCCCTAATGTAGCTGTGGTTGCGTATGCAGATGATATAAATGCCATTATAACTGCCCCGAACTTGGAAGACCTTTCCACCAATATTAATAATGCGCTTCCGGTTTTTAGTAAACGGTTCTCTTGTAATAATCTCTTACTCAATACTAAAAAGACCAATCTTGTTTTGTTTAAGCCCACTACTAAAAAACAAGATACTATCAATGCTGAATGTAATGGTCAGTTGGTAGGAGCAACTTCTTGCATAAAATTCTTGGGTATATATATTGATGAATGTCTTAACTGGAAACAAGAGATTAGTGCAATGGAGGATTATATAAGCTCTGCCTGTTATGCGTTGAGAAGTTTGAGAGACTTAATTGATGTGGGCCAATTGAAGTCTGTATATTATGCTCTCGTTGAGTCGAAATTGAGGTATAGCGTAAAGTTTTGGGGAAACAGCTATTCTTATAATATGAAAAATGCATTTGTACTGCAGAAAAGGGCAATACGAACTATGGTGCGCATACCGCCATGGGAGTCTTGTAGGGAACATTTTAGAGACCTTAGTATACTTACTCTCCCTAGTCTTTATATATTGGTTGTCGTAATGGATGTTTTGAAGCATAATTATAAATACGAAACGGCAACATCTAGGGAGACGAGATTAAGTAGTAGAAGAAAAGACATACAAATTTCGCTTCACCCAAAATTAAATATTGTAAAACATTGTAGTCGATATCAGGCAGTCAAACTTTTTAACGCCCTGCCGACGGAGTTAAAAGCTATCGAAAGTCCTAATAAATTTAAAACTAAATTGAGGCAACTTCTGTTAGACAGTTCTTTCTATACGCTGGAGGAGTTCTATAGTGGTCAGTGCATCTTACCCAACGGATAATTAATAAAAACTACCATAATGTTTAAGTGTCTGCATGATTTTTATGTAATTTTATTTTGATTTGTTCTTGTACCATTCAAATACAATTGTAAAAAATTGTTAATGCTGTACGAATAATAATAATCATAAGCAAATCTGGATCCAGGCCCGCTGTGGTAATATGCACTGTTGTAATATGTTTTATCATTGTGCTGTATATAAGCTAGTAGTTGAATCACTCGTATATTTTAAATGAAACATTATTAAAATATTTATATAAAGGAACCTCAGACTTCTAAGAAATATTGAAGTAAAGTACACGCTATTGTACCACGGAGACACAGACATTTAGATATCTAAATATATATAACTCAAAGGTGACTGACTGACATAGTGATCTATCAACGCACAGCCCAAACCACTGGACGGATCGGGCTGAAATTTGGCACGCAGGTAGATGTTATGACGTAGGCATCCGCTAAGAAAGGATTTTGATTAATTCTGCCCCAAGGGGATAAAATAGGGGATGAAAGTTTGTATGAAACTTTGTCAATTTTAAACCGATCGGACTGAGACTTTGCATGCATAAAGCTACTATAAAGTAGGCATCCCCTCAGAAAAGATTTTGATAAATTCCACCCCTTAGGGGATAAAATAGGGGATGAAACTTTATTTCAGGTATTTTACACGATATAATAGGCTATTTTTCATCAATCAAATTAAATATTTTTCATCTATTTAATTTTGCTTTTATGATGTTGTTTTGATTTAATTTTGTATATGATTTGCAATCATGTATTTCTGAACTTGTATTTTAATCTAAATTATGTATATATATTCATAATAAATCGGATTATTAATTGTGAATTTTATGTTTACCTAATAATATTTGAATGCTGTGCACAATTGTTATCGGTTGCAAGCTTACTTGTTGCTAGTAATGTCTTTATATAAATGTATTGGTTTTGGTTTGTAAACTGTTATTGTGTCTAATAAATAAATAAATAAATAAATAAAATAATTAAATATAATGAATAAATATTCGTTAGAAATGCTGCTCAAAGTAACTTTACCACGCGGACGAAGTCGCGGGCAAAAGCTAGTCTGTGATAAAAGTGAAAATATAGTAATAATTAAATTATATTTCATCGATTTTCATTCACAATGCTACGCTGAAAGGATATTCTTAATGAAAATTGGTTCTGGGTAGCTCAGAGGGTAAAGCAGTTGCTCAGATTGCAAAAAATCATGGGTTCGAGTCCCATCTCAGAGTGCCGGGGACGAGGTGGATTCTTTAAGAACAAAATTTTCATCTTTATCCAAAGTTTAAATATTTGCAAAAATTATTCTTTCGCCCGTTTGGGTGGATTGCTTGAACATTAATGGGAATGCGCTCAGTAGTGGCGAAAAAGTGAGAAGTGCTTGAAAAATTCGTCGGTCATGTTATGCCGAAATGGGGGCGAACCGCGCGGTGTTTGGCCTCCGGGCCGATCCCGTGCATCGCCTTCCATGCGAGGGACATCGCTGAGTTTTAGTGGGTAAACTCCTGCTTCTTGTCTAGCCCCTTCGGGGGTAGGACCGCAGG